TTGTTGTTGTCTCTGCCACAGCTGTTTCTACTGGTTCGTTTGGATGTTCCAGTTATTTGTTTCAACTGGCGTGTACAAAATCAATTTCAATGGACATGCGGCTTCTTTGACTATAGCTCTCCCGCCATCTCTGCTATTACTTATGAGACTAAATCAATAGGAAAAAATAAACAACTCGATCAAGTGTGTATACTCCTTCTGTAGGGTGAATTGGGTATTCAATGGGCTATGGATCTGGATATTTACTCTTATAAAACTAAAACGGAGAATCTAGGATTTTTGTTGATTCAGACCTGGGAACGAAGTTGGTGTATGAATCAGTTAGCACCCAATGCAAGAGTTTTTGAAACTGAGAATTTTTCTTCTCGAGCTACGTGCAGCTGCTCTATTAACAAGTTTTTATCTTGATATTTGCTACCAAAGAAGAACTTGTTAAGTCAATGTTTAAGCCGGGTTCTGAGTGTTAATGATTCAACTCGATTCAACTTATTTCAATACGATTTAATTCGGTTCAACTCGGTTGAACTTGGTTTGATTTTTAATTGATAGATTGAAATCATTTCAGGAATATTGTCATCGTTTCAGTTTGTGATTTTTCTTCGGGTTCAGCTTCATTTACTACATTTCAGGTTAGTTTCCTTATATTTTAGTCGATTCAATAGTCTTTTAGAGTAAGTTTAAAAAATATTTAAGCTTTCATAATATAATATATTAATTATAAGATGGATTTCTAATTGTTTTGAAACCTCTAAATATGAGTGAATGTGTTTGCTCTATAATTTATGACATGATATTTCTAAATGAAATTGTGACGATTACTAGAGTATTGATTATTTGTACCACAAAGACATATGCTAGTCGTCCCTGTTTTGGATCCTTATCATGAGCTGGTTGGCTAGGGTTTCAATTTTTAGGACCACGGGTTGGTTGGTAATATTTTGGGTATGGTTACAAGCTTGATGATTAATGCTTGTCGGTTTAAATAGAGACATTGGTTGGTTATCCTATCTCAAACTGGGTCACAAATTGGTTAACTATGTTCCGATTTAATTTATATTTTTCGAGGTTACTCACAATGACTCTGGTTTTGCTCTAGAATGCTCCTAGTTCGGTTTAGTTTTGTTGCAAACTTGAATTGGTTTTCTTTATGTGAATTTAGTTTATTAAAGGATTTGTTTGTATTATTTAATAAATGCACTCCAAAGGGTACCTTGCACAAAGATTATTTATTCCCTTAGAAACAAGGATGGAAATTTTGCGAAATATGCATTCCGGGTGATCGATGGACGTTATCTCCCCGTTGAACATGTATGATTGTCTATATGACTCTATGTATGTTAGCTACATGTGTTTGAATGAGTGTACACCTTGTAGAGTGAGTAACAGTCGCGAATTAAGAATAGGACGTTAGAGTTAGGTTGGCTAGATGACGACTTAGGTCCAAAAGCCTTTAGTACGTTGAGTGCCTTAGGATCGTGAGCGGCGATCATAGAAAATAGTCCATGTCAAGCCACCAAGACGCCCTAAGAGACTAGTAGACCTCCATGACCCAAGAATGACCAAGATATCTCTCAGGCTATAAGTTGTGTGAACAGTATCTTCAGGCTCTCCACTACCCTATACAATTTGGTAGTAGTACGGTCGAGTTAGACATAGGTCGGTAAGGTAGTGTGTGACCCAACTTAGTGGAAATGGTCGGGGTCTCTTGAACAAAGCCACTGTGCTATAAACCCGTTCTTAAGAGAGGACATGGTATCACATAGGATTACCTAATAGCTGGGACATGGGAGTTCACATCCCTCTTACTTATGTGACTCTATGATCATGTGAGAGGCGTCATCCAACCTTTCATATATGATGTTCAGACTAGATAATACCATACAACCTCATCAAAACTTTATGAGGTAGCGCTTTAACCCAGGTGATAAGGAATCAACACAAGGAAAAGATATGATACCAAGTGATTGACAAGAGAAGTAAGATTTAGATTACCTTGCTGATCAAATATCTCAAATCATTTCACAAACAAGATCGATCATGCCAAGCTTGAATGATTCTAAACTACATCGAATTTCAAAGAAACTTAGCCCTTGACGAAAAGAAAGATAAGAACACTTAGCTCTAGTGATAAAGAATTACTCTTAAGGAACTAAAATTCAGATTATTTTGTTGATCAAATATTTCAAGACAAGAACGCTTGATTGAGATTCAAATCACTCCACATGCAAAATCGATCATGTCAAGCTTGAATGATTCTAAACATGTAATCTAAACGGCATAGAATTGCAAAGAAATTTAGTATTTGGCTAAGAGAAAGCAAAAAAAAATGCTCTTCTTACTGCATTTTCCAAGTCTCATTTACAAAGATAACATACATGGGTTTGTATACTACATGAGTTTATATACCCTTGACTTCAATGAGCATTTTAAGAGTATGTAACTTTCATACTTTATGACCATAATTAGCCATTATGTAAATGTAACATTTAAAAATAAATAAAAAGTCGTAAAATGCATTAATGAAACATCGTAACTCTAAATTATGATCCATCCAAAATGTATAACAATGAAATTTGATTCTTCCTTAATGTGGCATGAATTGAAACATCTTTTTAATAATTTTCACAACATTTTCTTTACATTTTCCTTGAAGTTTTGGTTCATATCACCCAGCCACAGGTTGCAACAACAAAACAAGCTACCTTAGTCCAGGATAGAAAGGTTGAAGAATCTATATAGACCCCATCAAAACTTCGAGGCTCTCTAGATGCTCAAATAGCACTAGAGATTAGGCCCAAACATCCTACAACTCAAAGAAAAGTCTGTAGAAGCCTGTTAGGATAAAGGTGCAATGACAACCTATTGGTAGATTGCTTGCTAAATATTTTTAATACTCACCACTTTTTACATTTCCTTTTCAGGTGATTGATGCTACACGTCGAGCTTAGGGTGTGCTTTTTGTAGCCACAAAGGGGTGTTGACCCGAGATGTCCATGTTGTCCACATAGTCATGAGTAAATTTCATTAAACATCTTATAATTTGTAAACAAGTATATTAAATTTTTGTATTGACCCTGAATGGTTTATAATCGATTGAAATTTTATCGTATTTCCATTGTATTTTGTTTATGCATGATTTTAATTTGCATTGCCTATTAGTCTCGGTCTAGAGAAACACGATTCCATCTTTACAGACCAACACGATTCCTTATAACTTCTTCTAAGAGTGAAGACTATCTCTACAAGGCAACATGATTCTTTCAACATGCTTTGTCCTCTCTCACATGCATTCTAAGAAAATCTCTCTGGAAGTCTTTGAACATAGAATTGCTTAAAACAAAATATGCTTAACTTTGGATTTCTTATGGTTGAACCACCGTAAGGAAGGTACACATGGTTAGTATATATAGTCACTTTCATTTCATTTAAACATTTATTAGTCATTCTATTCTCGCTATCACTCTCATTCAAATGTGGCATTAGTTCAGTTATGTACCTCTCATTTATTCGAATGTCAATCGGGAGAGAAGACCAAAGCATGTGGTGAATGACTCAAAACTGATCGCTTTTTATCTTCAATGTCTAAATCAATAATCATAGGTTCCATACACAGCTGGTTCTCTTGTCCCTTTACCCAACAACCCTCCAAACAATCTTTTCACTCCCCACTAAACGTCAACTGCAACCAAACCTCATTTTTGTTCATACACTTTTGACTTGTATTCCTTATTTCTACGTACCTGTTCTATTGCTTCTTTTGAGCTACAGATTGTTCGGTTAGAAATTTTATTTAGGAGAATGTATGTGAATAAGATATCTGGAAATAAGATGCATGGAAATAAGATATCTGAAAATGAGATAACTGTATATGGTGTTGCATGAGAATACTATCTGAATTTAATAAATAAATAATATTTGTGTTTAGTTCCAATAATTACGGTCTTCACAAAAATCACATTTACCTTTGTCTTGCAATCTAATATTATCACTAGATTTCAATTGATTTTCGAGAGATATTTCAAAAATAACAAATATACTCTTTTTACCTAACATGTGATTACTACAACCATTGCCAAGATACTATGTACACTCTACACAATCAACTTGAGTACTACGTGTAAAAAATAGAACGTCGTTATCATTTTTCTCTCCCATATTTAATATGCTAGAATTACCATTTCACCGAATCCGACAATCGGTCTGAAATGACTGTACTTTTGGCATTAAAAAATTACCATGAACACTTTCTTTGTTTCAACCAAAATCTCTTTCTTTGTCGTTGAGTCTAAATGAAGTTTGCAAATGAAAAGGTTCTTTAGGAAGAGTAAAATTATTGGGGATTGTACCTTTTCAACCGGCGAGAAAGATGGGACCACCTTGTTAGAATTCAACAATCGATACTCGCTCTTGAGAACTGTTGATCAGTGATTTTTTTTTTGTTGTTGTTGTGGATTGTTGTGATGTGCTCGAGTCTATCATCATTTAGAGCATGTGAAGCAAAAAATGAGGCAATCACCATATTGCATAGCTTAACTTACTCTAGTGTAACGTGAGTTCTTAAGCTTGGTTCTTTCTTAGTATTTAAAGGAATTTAGTGACGTTTTCCTTCACCCTCGAACCACACTTTAATAACATCGAAATTAAAATTTTGTTCGAAATTGATTCGATATTTAATTTAGAGATGCTCGTGGGTTGGATTAAGTCGGACGACACATTTTTTAAACCAAATCTAAATGGGATATCATAAATTTTTTTGAGTTTACTTATTTATTTTTAAATATTTAATTAAAATTTGTAATTCAATAAAAAAAAAAAAAAGTTACCCACTAAATAGTTAAATATTAATTTAACGAATAAATAATAAAAAAATATTATAAAATAAAATAAAATAAAATAAATTTAATTGGAAGTAAAAATATATATTTAAAAATTATTAATCCCTCATTTAATTTAAATATTGGTATAAAAATTTATGTTTTCCCTAAAATAGAAGACGCGAGGAGAAAGACGGGGCTGAGTGAGGCCAACATTTGAGAATATCGTTTTGCGAAGGGCTCAGCACAAATACGCCAACGGTAGAACACTCTGTTGCAATGGCGATGGATGCTGGATCATCGTCCTCCCTAGAAAATCAATCATCGCTTTCCAATCACCATGAATCTTCTCTAGGAAAACCTCAAGCATTGGAAGACTTGGCCAAGTCTTGGGCCGGCTACGCTGCCCAACAGGCGATGCTATACCAGCTCGCTATCAACCACTCCTTGGAGTCTGCCGTTGAAGCCTCCAAATCTCGCCTTTCTCAGATTCGTTCCACCTCCTATCCTCATTTCCAGAAGGCTATTGTAATTTCTCCAATTCTTTTTTTCCTGTTGTTATTTGTTTAGTTTCCAATTGAGAATGGATGTTAGCTTAGGTGTCCAGGAGAAAGAGGTTCAAAGGTTTTGAATCGTTACTGAGCGTTTTTTGATTGGAGTCAATTCGTGGATGTTTTGGTTGACCGATGCTTGTTCTGTATAATTTGATTTCATGATTTCTAATGTTTGAAATTACCGAACTCCAGACCTTGCCTGTTGAGTGACAAATTAAGGCTCTCTTAAATTTTTTTGACCCGATTGTTGGGTTTGGAAATAAATGATCGCCTGCTTGCATTTCTTAGTTCTGGTTTTGTTCTTTCTAGGTTCGCTTATGAAAATGGTTTCCTTGCCTCTTGCTAGAATTTTACTTTCTTGTCAGTTAGCTTTGTAATAGGGAGCTTTTATACAGTTTCTTGCAGCAGTTCTTTCCCCCAAGTATAAGGGAGGGTGGTCGAGTTGCAGGCTGTCTAAAAGTTGAAGTTGGACTAAGAAAAAGACCTGTTGATCTGTTTTGATATTGGTTGCATGGGTAATGTTAGGATGCAAACGTTTCTTTGTTTAATTGGTAAAGTTATTTTCATCCAGTGGATAGATTTAGACGCATTAAACAAATTATGTCACAACTTTGGAGTCTGACTATGATTGGACAGTTAAGCTTTTCAACAAATCGCACTTGTTCTCTCTTGTGAAGATAGAATTTTATTGGACATGTCAAATGGTTTTAGCAACCCTCTTCTATGTTTGAAGTTTGCACATTTGGGGTTGCATTTTATCTATCTTCAACCCTCTGGCATGAACACTTTAATGAGGGCTAAGTTGGGTTGAACTATGGGGGAAGTGTTTGAAAGATAATGCATTGTACTTTTCCGGCAGCTATTAATGATAGATAAAGATTTTCCCCATCAAAGGATTCATCAAAAGGTTAAGTGCATACTGATCAAAATTCTAGTCTTGAGGAAATAGCAAGAACTCTTCTGCGAAGAAAACAAATAGAACACAACATTCGTAATTTTTTAGCTAACTGGATGTTGTTGGGTTTGATGTTTATTTTTTTCAAGGTTGGGCAGTAATATAGCATGCAAGATAGAATTGGTGGCAGATGAATGGACTGCTAGCTTTTGCATGTGGGATTGGTTAAAGCAGATAAACCACTTGCTAATTAACTCTTAGTTATATAGGAAAATTTCCAGTCCCATGAGCACTATTTTGTGATGTGGTGGGGTCCTTGTAAAAGAGAGTAATAACATTGCTAGATCTTTCTTGGGCTAGACGTATGACTTCATTGAAAGTTTTTGTTTCTCGGAATAAATAATTTCAAGTCATTTTATTTTCTTGCCAAAATAAATGATACACACTCTTTATAATGGTGACCTCAATTGATAGTACCTTGTTCATTCTCTGATTGCCTACTTTTGACTCTTCTGTTTTTGTTTTTCTTTTCTTTAACATTATTTTCTAAACTTATCATTTTATGCATTGAAAATATGCCTCTAGGATTCATTTCAAGATGTGAAGTCAGAGGTTGCTGATTTTGAGAATTTATTCTTTGGAAAAGTTAGAGGTTTGTTCCTCAGCTATCATTTTGATGGAAAATTGATTCTTAACTTACCTTACTTCTTTCTTTCTTTTTCTTTTTCTTTCTCATCAATTATGTAAATTACTGAGAAGTGTTATTTTTAATTTTTTCTGCAGATGGCATTCTTGTCGCTGCATCACATCCGCTGATCAGTTGTGGAGTTGCAACTGGCATGGGTTTGTTAGTCTTTAAAAGTATGACCTCATTTATTGATTAATTTTAATTATATGATAAGAGACTTTAAAAGTGAATTATAATTTCATAAATTTGTTTTTTTACTTCAAATACTTACTTTGTCCAATCATTTTCCCATATTTCGTATCTCTCCCAGAATTAATTGCTTTCTAATGACACCAAATTATTCAAACATATTAGTAGTGATTTTGAATTCTATCTACTTAAATCTTCAAAGAAAAAAAAAAAAAAACGCGCTCAATATTCCACTACAATAAATTCACAGTTTACCTAGATTTGGAGGCTACTCATGTGGTCAGCACATGAAACTTGTAACAATCTGAATCTTGAGCATTTATTTTTCAACCTTAGTTCTAATTTTCTGTTTGATCCTGCAGAGCCCAGAAATTTCTTATACTACAAAACCGTTCGACTTTTCGTGAATGAAGAGGTGAGCAAATTTTTACTTATCATAATTACACAAAAAAAAAAAAAAAAAAAGCTTAATAATTTGACCTCCAGGTAGAGGTTTTATGGTGGCTTACTTTTATTCAGATATGTACTAGAGTTGTTGAAAATCCTTAGTTACTGGTCCCTTCTAAGTTTCCTAAAAGATGTTTTTAATTTGGCCGCACATTCTCATAACAATTTTGATGCTGAAAAGGTTATCTGAGATCTCCTTTTGTAATAAATTTCCACCGTCTCTTTGGATTTTCCCATGGTTATTTGTGATTTAATGCTGGTTATCAACCCATATTTACTACCAATTATCGATTACTACATGGGGTTCTATTGTTGTGGAAATCTCCAAACCTGCTTCCTCGTAATGTAATGTTCTTGTCTCTGAGGTTGCAAATGACAAGTCCTCTTTTTTTTAATCGTTAAAAGCTTATTCCAGCCAATTCGATGGTGGACCATCAGTAGCTCTTACCTAACCATTCCATTTTTGTTGAAGGCTTTGAACCAGAAACAAACTTTTCATTGAATAAACGAAAAGAGACTAATGCTCGTAGGATACAAACTCCACAAGGGAGTGAACAAATAAACAGAAAAGATATATAAACAGTACAAAGAAGCACCTTGAAAAGAAAGAATAAAAAAGGAACAAACTTTGCGACAATCTTGAGACATGAACTAAACTGGGAACTTCGGAAAACCACCTAACGAAAGAGAGGAAGCTGAAAGATCCGGTGAGAATCTTACAAAGAAAAAGCCATTGAGCCCGAACACAAAAGAAGCCCATTGAAATTGCAGGAAAGACACCAAAAAACATAATAAAAACCTCCTTGAAAACACCCTGAGATGAAAATTACAGCAATCACAGAACAAGAAACAGCAAAAAAGACCATCTGGAGATAAGCTTGACTGAAGCCACCAAAGAAATCAATTGACAACGAAGCTGAACTTTTCGCAAAAATAGCAGGAAAAACAAAAATCATGGAAACTTGAAAGAAAACCACCAAAACAGGTCAGAAGAATTTAAAGGGGCAAGGCTTTTCACTGTTTCCTTCTTTAACCAATAGGGGAAATTCACACATCCTGAGACCACAAACTAATAAGAGATGCAAGTTTAATAGGTATTGAGGATGAAGGAGGAAGATGATTATCTTTGTCACCGTCTTGAAATATAGAAGAAAAATCTTCCAAATAAGAATCTTCAAAAACATCATCTTGTAAGTTGCTATTCGAAGGATGCAAAGTCACTCCATACACCTGCTCAAGTTTATGTCAGAATCAAATTCACGAAAGCGGAAAAGTATGGTCTTTTGTCGAACGGATCACTCCTCTTGATAATGAAGAAACTGGATTCAAGGGGAGAAAATAACTTGGCTGCAAGGAATGGGGGAAGAAAAGTGAAGGGTCAGAAATTAAGAGGGCAACCTATTTCACTGAGTGGGCTAAAAAACTTGAACAATTTTCTTCCATAAAATCTGGAGATATTGTTTTCCTTAAGAATTGGATGGCATGAAGAAATAGATCTTTTTTTTCTCTCGAGATTATGACAAGGATAGGCAGCAATCAAAATACTTGTTCACTTCATGAACCTAGTCTTATTTGATATTTAAAAACTAACGTGAAATATTGGGGATTAGATAGGAAAGGTTGCATAATAGTTAACGTCCCTGCCTTTGGGAATATGATGTTTTTCATTTCTCTGATATTCTAGAGAATCTTTCCACTAAAAGGTTTCAAAAAGGGAAATACTTGCTTACAAGGGGCATGCCAAGATAATTGAGTTGAAAGCTTCCAGGTTTTCCTGAACTGTTTTGTGATGGTCAATAATAAAGTCTGGGAGAATAATTTTGGGTAACGCTGATCTTCATACCAGGAGCTAACTTGGAAATTATCACAATGCTAACGATCTCGTGATGCTCATCATCATTTTAGTCATCAAAAAGTAAGATAGCTACGGTGGAATTTGTTTGATGGGAATTTGGAAATTTTAAATACCCTGTTTCTCAGGGTGTGAAATGTCTCTTTAGAAACCAGGCAGCAGCCTGCAGGTGTTCATTCACTAACATTAAGACAGAGGCTACATCATAGCGACTACATCCAACAGACTTGGACAAGATCACAAACTTTGGTCCACACCTTCCGAGTAAGCTAATATCTGAACTGAGTTGATTCCTTAAGGCTAACCACTCTCTTATGCTTGGAACCACACGAACATGTTTTAGATTGTCTCCAAGGTCATCACGCATGGGCTGGAAATTATTCTTTTCCACCAGTTAGGCCAAAACAGAGGAAGTTTTGTGCTCAAGTGCAACTTGATCAACAGGAAGGCCCAATGCCCGGCTAATTGGTGCTAGGTTCATCACATAGGTGAAGAAGTACCTAGATTGGCGGCAAACATGGTAGTAGTTAAGAAGAAGAACAAGAAATAGAGGCATACAGAGACTGACTCAAAGGTTAAGGTTATGAACAACGCATGCCCCAAGGATTATTTTCCACTCTCATGGACACCTTAGGCTACCACTAGGTTTAATGCTTCCAATTGACCAAGAAAATATTGTATTTTGTCACGAAGACACTGAGTATTATTAATAAGTAATGCTCTTTGACCTGAAGAGTGGGAGGGCAACCTAGACTACCTAACCAAATCTCAAGGACCAATTTGACAAGACAATGGAGGTTCACTGATGACATGCTTGTCAAATTCTGTTAGTCAAGGACTGCATTTAACATTTGAAATAGGCTGTTGACATTTTGAACACATGACCGAAGCTCAATTTGAGAAACTGTACATTAGGATTGTCTTCTGGCAGGTTCTTTGGATACATGGTCACCTAGATGAATACTGAAGCAAGCCTCACCTAGATTCGCTCCAACTAGAGATGGAGCTAACCAAGGTGATTGAAGAAGCTTAAAAGACTGGTTGGACATGAAGCTACTTTCAACATATTCATTTTTGGAAAGATAGTGCACACCTTGTTCGTTGGAATATTATAAACCTCCCAACAGAAAAGGGAGGTCTCGGTCTTCTCTCGATAAGGAAGAAGAACACAGCTCTCCTCGCCAAATGGATACGGAGATATCATCACGAAGAAAAGACCTTATGGCGAAATCTTATAAAGGCTAAATATACTCCTAGATCAAACAAAGATCACCTCCCTCCATCTTCTACAAAAGGGCCTTGGAAGTACCTAAAGAAACATCGAAATCTCATCACCCACCGAACTCACCATAAGGTGGGGAATGGGGGAAGCACATCATTTTGGACAAACCCATGGATTGAAAACACCACGCTAGCTTTGAAGTATCCACTTTTGTACAGGCTTTCTCACAACAAAAAAGTCACAATTAAAGAAACGTGGAATGTTGTCAACAAATTTTGGGACTTGAAGCTTGGGAGGAATCTAAAGGATAATGAAGCAACAGAGTGGGCCGAATTAAGCCTTGACCTTGCCCCTGTGGTATTGTCAAACAAAGAAAACTCACTAACTTGGCTCCCCAGTGCAGACGGGGTCTTTTCTACAAAATCCTTGATGATGGACATGGGGGAAAAAATAGAAGCAATAAATCCCACGCTAGCAAAGACAATATGGAAAGGACATCAACCTAAAAAGGTGAAGTTCTTCCTTTGGGAAATAGCGCATAAAGCCATCAGCACTAGTGAAAATCTTCAAAAAAGAATGCCTTACATCACTCTCTCTCCAAATTGGTGTCCACTATGCAAGAAAGCAAACGAATCACAAAGTCACTTGTTTATGGAAATTGGTGTCCACTATGCAAGAAAGCAAACGAATCACAAAGTCACTTGTTTATGGAATGCACATACACTCAAAATTTTTGGACAATGATTCTCAATATATTCGGATGGCATCTCACATTTCCTAGAGAGGTAAAGGATTTTTTGGACATGGCCTTAACGTACCACCCTTTCAAGAATGCAAAAGCCCTATTATGGAAAAACCTCATCATGGCTTTCTTTTGGAATCTGTGGAAAGAAAGAAATCAGAGAATATTTGCAGAAACGACACAGACCTACACAAAACTTTTCGACAATGTTGTTTACCAAGCTATATCTTGGTGTAAACTGTCTAATATTTTTACTTCCTATAGTTATACCTCCCCCATTGCAAATTGGGAAGGTCTTTTGTAAACATCATGGATTATACATCCCTCTTGTAAATTTCACTCATCAATGAAATTGTCTCTTATAAAAAAAAAAAAAAAAAACATATTCATTTTGAAGTTGTCCAGCCATTGTGAGACCTTCAAATCCATTGAAGAAGTGCCAAGTTTTGTTTGATCAAGAAATTGAATTCAATGGAGTCAGATTCTTTGCTATCTAATCCTATAATTATTAGACTTGTTATCCAGGTTCTCACTGAACCAAAGTCACCTACAAAAAAGAAGAATAGAGGTGATTAACTTGCCAGTAGGTGGTTTGATTTCCCACCTTCAAATGCTGCTAGAGATTTTCAATGAGCAACTAGGGTGAGGGGACGGTACCTAGATAAAAAAGAATGCAGGCTCAAGGAAGACTATGTAAAGGATGATCAATTGCGCATGTTTTGAAATTATCACCTTGGATAGTCGAAGAAACAAGGTAGCCAAATCGATCAAACCTCAGATGTCACAGCACCCTTTCTATTGCCACCAACTCATATTTTGACGATGATTGTATATAAGACTTGATTTTTAAAAAATGAAGGTGCTATGTATTTGAGCACATTAATCATTTGACCCCTTGGATTAGAGATAGGTGGCATGGCCATCATGACCAAGCACGAACATCGCTTCTGCCAGAAGCGTTTGACATGATGTGTTAGAAAACTATAATGGATATGACATCTAGAGCAGACAAGCGTGAAGTTCCACAACAACATTACGGTCTTGGATTACATTACCCAGAAGACTTGGGAAAGCTTCACAGTTTTCTCAAGGTAAACCTTTTTAGTCCAATTTTGTAATGACCTTGAGAGATAGATCGGAATACCCTTCTTCACGTATTTGGCTCATATGGACGTGTAATTCCTCAACTTGTATGGTCTTCCCTCTGAATGCATGCTTTACTTCAGTGCAAAGTGCAAAAGGGTATTTCTAAATTTAAATTTTATTTTTCTAATGATTTTTAATAGAGTGAAGTGCTCAATTAATAAAATATAAACATTTGTATGCAATATTAAAATTTAGTATTAACTATGAAGCATGCGCTCAAGTATCAATTAGTCTAGATATACAATAGTTAGTTATTACGAAACCTTCAACCACAGAGAGGCTACAAAATAATTGATTAAACTACAAAAGTACGTGAACTCGGAAAAAAAAAAACGTACAAAGAAAAAACTACTCAATTACATCTTAGAATTATAAAAGAGAGAAAAGGTGTTGGTGGACAGGTTAACAAAAGTCCGTCCTTAAGATTTATTTTCAATAAGGCTAATAATCATGTGGATTGATATTTTTTTTCAGTAAAGTTATGTCAGAGAAGGGCATTGGGTATAAATAGAGGTCCTAGATTTGGAGTTGTATAGCATCCTTAATCATGGCAAACCGATAGAATTCAAGTTTTGAGGTTTTAGATGAGGACAACCTCTTTCTCCCTTCTTCTTCTTGTTGTTTGTGGATATTTCAAGTAGTCATATCTAGGAGGGTGAAGGACAATATTCTTGAATGGTTTTTGGTAGGGACCAATAACCTGTCTTTGTCTGATCTTCCATTTGCTGATGAATACCATCTTCTTCTGCTCGAGTAGGTAGGAATCCTTCCTTAAACAAAATATATATTATTATTCTTTTAGTTTTATCTCCAGGTTGAAGATATAGATAATTTCCCGATCCCTCTCATTCTCAATCTGCAGCTTATTGTGTTAGTGATGCTCAATCATTGAACCAAAGAAAAAACCTTAATTTTTTCCATTATTTTTCTTCTTTTAGTTGGAAAAATGCATATTTTTCATAAATAGTCACCTACTCAAAAACTATTTTTTTAATGTAATTTATATATTCTTGTTATTCCAAGTTTTACAAATTTATAATTTCTTAAATGGATGATCATGGGAAGCACTATCTTTTAATTGATTTTGCAGGCCTTACTGTCCAAAGCTGATGCTAGAGTAAAAGAGCTGCGACAATCAATTGATCGGATAAAGGTTGAAAGTGAGAGACTGGAGGTAGGATTATATATTTCTCTTAAATTCTCAACTCATTACCACTGATCGAAAAATTAGTAAAATTGCCACATGAATACTTTTGTATTCGTTAAATTCAGAAGAGTCGTTCTTTTTAGGGAAGTGATGCTCTTACTATGTATAGGATCTTGTTACAAGATTTGATAAAACTTATATAGTCTTTGGGTAGAATAAAAAAAATTCAAAACCAAAAGAGTCATAAAAGAAAAAAGTGAAAAGAAAGCCTTCATGATCTGTATGGGACTTCGAAGTTGATGGAGAACTTGACGACTTGTATAGAACATTGGTTTGTATTCAAAATAAATGGTTTGTTGTTCTAGTGGAATCGTGGGAATCTAAGATGCTTGGTAGAGACGATGAAGATGAATTTAGCAACATAAGATACAATTGGCAATGAGAGAGGAGTTTGGAAGTATGCAAAGTTGCCCAATGGTCGATGATAATAAAGAAGGGAGAACTGTATGAACTCAGATGTGCTTCCATGATAATTACTTTTCCATATTGGAAGCAGAAAAAAAGTTAATTATTGAAGATTCTATTAATTATTAATCCATTGATGACTAGCTACGCCACCATGTTCACAAGAAATGCCTCATCTACTAGAATGGGGACGCACGCTTCACAGTGAGATTTATACCAACATAGAAATATCTTGTTTAAGAACCATTTGCTCCCAATAGCTCTTGGCTTTTCACTTTTGATACCTATCTGACTATGTGGATGCATAAACGAGGGACTTTTCTCACATGGCATTTACATAATCAAGGATGTGGTAACTTGACTTAATGAACTGTACAAAAGAAGCTCACATGGAATGAGTATAATTATGGATTGTATGGTTCAAACAGAAAGCATTCAGGAAAGGAATTATATTTCTCGTCTGTACAATTTGCAAGCTGGAATTTGTCAGTTTTCAACAATTTCAATCATTTGTACTCCATGAATGAAAAATTATTTACTTTTCATTTCAGAAAAGAACCCTTCAAGCACAAGAGGAATTGATACGAGGAAGAACAAAACTCAGGTTTGCACTAGATTTGCTGCTAATGAGCTGTTAGAAATAGTACCCTTATTGATACCTATTCTTATCTCTTTTTATTCTTTTGCAGGCAAGCAGGAAAACAGATCGAAGGTGTGATTCAGTCAGCTCATAAAATTGAAAGGAAGGCAAGAGGTACGCAAATGGTTTCTCTAGCCATGCAAAAGTTGAAGGATGATAGAAAAGTGCACTAAATTTTTGCTACATCTCATCTTACACTAATGTTTGTACCATGTTTGTACCATGGTATCAGGTTTAAAAGATATTCTTGCGGATCTTCCGACAAGGGAAGCTTCACGATTTAGGACTCAGGCAAGTGTTCCATTTGACTGTTCACTTTTTTGATAGTGTTACATCCCCGTTGAAGACTATTGATTGGGCTCGTTGAATCCTCTTTTTCAAAGTATTGATTGAATAGAGAAATGTTTAACATTTTATTAGAGGAAATTGCAGGATAATACACCCAATGAACTTACAGTTCTTCCCGGCATTATATTTTTTTAGTCATCGATCCCCTATCATTTATGATAATTCTCATTTGTGATTTATCGAAAACCCAGTGTGTAAGTGTGCATATTGTTTAAAAAAAAGAAAAGTTCATTTTTTACTCTCTCAGTTCATTTGGATGTGACACTTTTTCTTGATGGGTATTTACTCTTTTAATTGTGTTATTTTGTTGCTAGAGATTGTTACTTTAATCTTTTTGGTTCTAGGATTAGGTTCCGAATATTTGTCATCTTTGACATTATTTTGGTTTCTTTGTTCATTAAATTTTCTATGATTTATTTGCTGGTTCAGGGGAGATATTAATTTTAAGACTTATTCAAGTTCAAGGTTTTAATGGATAGAATTAAAAGTTATAACCATGGTATATTTCAATAGACACTAATCTTGGGGCTCTGCATTGCAGGTTTCTAACCTTGCTTCTGAGGCAAAGAAGGAAAGAATTGGCTTGAGCAAGGAGGTCTCCAAAATTAGCAACTACGGCATCTCTGTCTGATAAATTCAAATTTAACACTTGGCTCGGTCTGGTCTGAAACTACCTGCATATCCTCTCTCATCTTTGTTTTTCTTCTTTTTAAACTGTTCGGCCAAAATAATTTTTGAAAGCTATCTATTGAGTTCTACCATTGAAAGGTGAATTTGATTGTTCAGTATAATAATATGCAATACCAATAGAGTTGGTTCTTTTGATAGAACTTAATCTTAAATCTTGACAAATTCTTTGTATTGATGAATTTATCTTCGAATGATTCAGGGAGTGGATGGAAAATTTGAGCAATAAATAAGGATACCAACTCAAAATCATCCAATGGCATGTCCTGTCCATTGTGCATGACTTGTTACGATACTCTTGTATTGGTCATGCGACCCCCATTGCATGCTTTGATACCAACCTTGCTTCAATGGTGGGTTGTTTGCATATCCATCACTTCCTCATGAGGACCTTTCTATAATGTTGGGCCTAATGCTGTGGCGTCGAACAATGGTGATTCTATGACGTAGTAATTTTGTGATCTTTGGGTACAGTCTTCTAGTGGATCAATAACATTCAATGTCATATCTGTAGGGATCTCAGATTTGGATTTATGTTACCAATTTATCTCTCATCAATCGCAGTTATGTTAAATACTTAAGTTGGAATGTGTCGTTGCATCCACCCTTCTGAACCAACATCACCGTGCAATGGCTCAAGTCCATTGACCTCTTTGGATTTTTTCTTTCGGATTTTTCCTTAAGATTTTTAAAATACATCTGTCTGGGAGAGGTGTTTTACACCCATATCAGGAATGTTTTGTTTCTCTCTCCAACCGATTTCACATAATACCTGTTATTTTGCTATATGCATAAGTATATAGTAAAACAAGGAAAAAAAACAAGTTTACTAACTTTTAAAAACTATCTTTTAAGCAAGATAAACGTAAAAATATGCTAGAAAAGTTTTAAGGAACTAAATATAAAAACGTCGAAGGAAAAATCAAAGATAGCCTGTAGAATTATTGGATTACAGAGGGAAAAAAGTAATAATAAACCATAGGTATATGGGAAGAAATGGGAGAAGGGTTGAGAGTAAACTTACCAAAAACAAGAAAGAAGGGATAAGGGAGTGGAGGTCTCCTCAAAGTCTTACAAAGTGTGAAAGCATATATATATATAGAGAGAAGAGAGTGATTGTTAGTAAATGGGTGAATGTACTTATTGTATTATAGTCCATTGAATTAAAACGGTGGAAAAAGATACATTTTAACGTGCGTCAATAAGCTTGATTTGTTCAAAGTCGAACATTAAACATTACGTTATAATCATCAAATGTGGCCGTCATGCATTATGCATTAAGAAGTTAGCAATCAAGAAACATTTTTAGGAGAAATTATTAATTGTTGATCATTTCTAAGAGAAGAATAGTTAGTGATTTTGTTTCTTTAAATATTACTTTATTTTGCAAGTTGAAAAGTATTGTGATTAAAATATTTTAGTATAAAATGTGCTTCGTTCTACTTTTGTGTACTTCTATCAAGGGTTCATAAACATGGATGGAACAAGTTCGAGCAAGTACGATTCAAAACTAAGCCTCAGAGATGCATCATATTGATGGATTGGAATGAAATTTGAAAGTAGATAGTTGTCCAATTGAATATCGGTGGACAAATTAACAAAAACAAAGAGAAAAATAAGTACAAAATTAAAGACAAAAACACGTCCATTGCTCATGAAATTTTAGGAAAAGACTAGATATGACATAATAAGGTTATGTATGAAATTTGGTAACCATTAGATTACAATAGAGGGACTAAACCAAGGATATGCGTAAAATGACCAAAATGCCCCTATAATTATGTACTACTAACTTATGACCAAAGTGACTTTTAAATGGCATGAAATTTCATGCGGAGCCTTATGTCATGGTTTAAAAGTATTATACAGTTAAAAGACCATTAGAATATCAGGAGGATTTGAACTAAGAATTGGGGTGGTAAATGACCAACATACCCCTATAACAATTTTAAAATGTTTTTAAGATTCTAAAAGATCGTTAAGAAATTTTTTATGGGACTCATTATGACCCTAAGGGTAAGTATGCGAAATCTAAGGAGAGAATTAGAACATGTTTGAGATATGAACTCTAATCAAAAGAACGAAACTACCCCTAAAGACCCTTTATAAGAAATCAAAGTTTATTATGAATACCAAGTGACAAGATGTGTCCTTGAAAGATAGAGTAATACATAAAGACTAATCAAGTCATGATTTAGTTAAAGGAAGAAAACACGTCACCTTGAAAAAAAAAACGTGACTTTTCAGATGTTGATTTCAATAAAAGGTATGAACCTTGAATGTGCATGAGTATGGACACAATAACTTAGCATTACTAAATATAGTTGTTTGCGGTATATGACCAATTACTATAAATGTCATGTATCATATACCGTCTCATCATGTATAGCTATTGAATAAGCTATATAAATAAGCAGCTGATTTCATAATTTAACATATTTGTGTTTTTTCTGTTGTTTTGTAAGGCGTAAAAAACTAAGTTTAGTATTCAATTAAATCATCACTTAATTACAATTGGTATGAGAGCCATACTGGACTTCATAGAAAACAAAATAGCAATTTTGAGGGATCAAATATAGATATGATGAGTCTAGACAAAACTTTTAACAAATATCTATTATTTTAATGGTCACTATGATCACTGAAGTGAGCCGATGAAAATTTTTCTTAGAGCAAAGGGTCTATAAAGTTTGGTGAAGATTAGTTTTTCAGGACCAGCACAATAGACGCACGTCGATGATGATAGCATCAAAAATTATCAAGTAAAACATTACCTCTTCCAAAAAAAATTGATCATTACACAACTAAAATTGTTTGGATCTGAATGAAGTGAAAGTTTGGTAACCTCTTTTGTTCGTTCTAAGATAGTGAGCTATAGTTTAAAGTTTTGTGTAGATCCCAAAGAATAGTGTAATGTAATTACACAATTCCAAAAAAAGATAAAAGACAAAACTTAAATAATTCAAGTTTATACAAAAGAGTTAAGTTAAGGCCAAGTCTAAAAAATTGGGCCCAAAATCGGAAGTCTATTTTTTTTTTTTAATGATTTAGTTTGAATTAAGTTCAAATAAATAAAAGCATAAAAGTCGTGATATTAAACTTGCTTGTTATTATTTTATTTCCATAATTTTGAAAAAATGATCTAAATTATATGCAGAGCAGTTGGATTATATTAAAGTTTAGATAGTTCTTAAGAACTCTAAGTTGAAGAGTCATCTTGGAGATTTGTGAATTCTGATATTCAAAAGTTAGCTCGATGCAAGGTAGTATAAAAAAAGTTAGAATTATTTTATGATAATATAAAAAAAACTTCGAATAAATCACAACGAGCAGAAGTCAATCTTTACCAAATTCCAATTCTTCAAACACCGTGTTCACATCCAATTATAATATTGATCACGGACAAGTAAAAATAATTTAACTTTTTTCTATTTAGGAAAAGTCGTAATAAATGTAAACCCTAAAAAATTTAGTGAATCTTCCAAAACATCACCATCAATATATTTATTATCTAATTTATTAGTCACAATAATGTTTCATATTTGTCAAATAAGAGCATTATTAACAATCGGATCTTTATTTTCGAGAGCCTATTGTGCAAGTTACACACCCGACCCAACCCTATCGTACTTAATTCAATAAATTACGATAATTACCGATCATAACATAAAATCTCAACGAGCTTAAATATATTACATTAATGCAAGACATGAATGAATGACCACAAATCAATAACAACAAAAGAGTGCATGCATTATTTCTGTCTGACTTGGGGTAATTTTTCAGGAAGGCATTCAGTAAATTTTGTATGTGTGGGTTAAAAAAGATAAAAAGTAAAAACATTTTTTTCTTGGTGTTCTTAATGTTTACCGTGTTTCTCTTCGACAGTGGCGGGCCTTAGCCATTAAATTAGGAATCAATGAAACTGCAAAGAGTTTAAAGAAGGGATTGGAAAAAGGTACTGTGGGAGATTTTTAAGCCGCATTCAATTTTCATGAGTGTTTTTTACTCAATACAAACCGACCCGTCAATTTTTTAAGTCTTTATGTCGACTTGAATATAGCTCAATTCACATAAAATATGTATCTCGATCAACAATTCTCTTCGAGTTATGAGTGTATCTTACCTAATACCAATAAACCCGTCAATTTTCTAAAGTTTTATGTCCACGTGAACACAGCTCAACTAATGATATAACATATGTCTTTTCGTTCAAGAAGTTAGAGGTTTAAATCTCTCACATCGCATTCAATTCAGATTATTCTTCAAGAAATCTAATTAATATCATGAGTGTATTGTACTCCTCAATACCAATCAACCCGTCGATTTTCTAAAGCTTCGTGAACCCTCAACTAATATTAGTGTATGTTCTCTCGATCAAGAAGTTGGAGATTCCACATCGGTTGGGGAGGAGAACGAAACATTCTTTATAAGGGTATGGAACCTTCTCCCTAACAGACGATTTCGAAAAAATCCAATAAAGACAGTATTAACTAGTGGTGGCCTTAGGCTAAATCACTCGTTTTGCAACATGTTGAAAAAGAAAATAAATTTGTGTTCCATAGGTTTTGTGTTAAGTTTAGCCTTCAAACTTTTAGGTCACTTTCTTGATTATTTGGGCACGATTAAGTAACGATCTGGTTCTAAGCTAAGCAAAAATTTAGGTATTTGTATTGAATTTAACGACAGAGACCTAACCGATACAAAATTAAAAGTTAAGAAATATTTTAAAACTTACAATATTACACCATAATTAATAACATGATAATCTCTAAATAAATTTGTTCGGTTTCATTCTTTTATTTAAGAGGTTTGCATCTATTCGGTTTTTAAATATTTAAATTAAAATTAGTTTGTGACATAAGTCCTTAAATGATGTAATAACATGTTGCATAAATCAAATGAAATTAATGAGGAAATTATTTGATACTAAAACGTTTTAAATAATATATTTGGCTGCAAATTGAGAGGACAGAGAAAAAAAAAAAAGGATAATAATTACATTATTTATTTAAAAATCAACCAAAATTCATGGGGTCTACAGAGAAACCCACGCGCACACAAAAGCAAACTATATTATATATATATATATATATATATATATATATATACATTTTTCTTACATAATAATAATATTATTATTATTTTATTAATA